CGACAGCATGAGTAGCAGCGTCTGCTTTTGCTTTGCCCTCTGACAAAGGTCCAGGGAGCCCTGAATGGCTTCGGATGTGACCAATGTATAAAGGATCTCGTCTAGCCCAAATGAGAAGCTGAACTACCTGTAGTTGTTCTGTGATGGTGGATTGCTTTCCAATATATGATGCCGTTTCCATGACTAGAGCCAGATTGGCTACATACAAGCTGTCAGTATATACATTAAGAGGAATAGAACTATAGACTTTGAGAGCTATAATTAAAGCTTCAACTTCCGCCTTTTGGGCCGACTGACCTGACACAGGTTGTCGGAGAATTTGAGATCCATCAAAAACGACGGCAAATCCATTTTTGGCCCCATCTGTATATACAGTTTGGGCCTTTGGAATAGGTTCCCTTTTCATAATCTTTGGGAAGATAATGGGACACCTTTTAAAGCTCTCCAAAAGTCTATGTTTAGGGAAGTGATTATCAATCTGACCCTTGAAGCTGCACAGGAAAAGACACCAAAGGTCATGTTCTTGTTGTAACTTGTGTATCATATCTTGAGTGTAAGGTTGAATAAGTATGTCAAAGGTTTTTCCAAACAATGCATCACCCAAATATTTAGCCTTCCAAATTAAGTTCATAACTAGCTCATAAAAGGGAGTCAATACCCGGGGGTTAGAAGCCGGCAAGTGGACCCAATAAATGGGACCCGTTTGCCAGAACACTCCTGTGGGAGTAATTTTAGAAGGTAGAACTATAAATGACAAGGGCAGAGAATAATCTATCTGCATAATCTGCATGTCCTGCGCTTCCTGGTGTTCCCCTGGGGAGTTCCCAGATAGAAAGGGGTTGGTCAGTGGGAGGCGGCGGAGACGCCCACTCCCTGGGGCACTGTTTCGTTCCTGCATTGCCCCGTACACTTTGGCTTCCGGGGCCCGGGGCGGGCCCCTGCTCCCGTTTCCCGACGGTATTGGGTTACCCTGGATGTCAAATTTTGACCTGCACTCACTGCTCCAATGATTTCCTTTATGACATCTAGGACAAATTCTAGGCATCCCTCTGCCAGCACCCTCGCTCCTTTCCGGGCAGTTTCTCTTTATATGTCCCTCTTTCCCACACTTAAAACACCCCTTAGAGCTGGTTCCCCTGTTATCAGATTTTTGCATTCCAGTCTTAAGGGCAGCAGCCAAAACCTGACCAGTAATATGAGGCCCATCTATATCTTTGCATGCTCGAATCATGTCATCTATACTTTTGGCCCGGGAGGACTTAATAGCATTTTGGCAATAAGTGTTAGCGTTTTCATATGCCAGTTGTCTAATAAGTGGCATAGCCTGTTCCAGATTAGGGAATATTTTTCCAGCAGCCTGCATTAGGCGGGCTATAAAGTCCGAATAAGGTTCAGAGGGTCCTTGAGAGATCTTGGAAATTTTTGCTTCAGTCTTAGAAATGGGCAGGGCTTTCCAGGCATGAACTGCAGCTGAGGCTATTTGAGCATAAACACCTGGGTCATAATTAATTTGTTGGCCTATGGTGGCATACTGCCCAGTTCCTGTCAACATTTCAGCATTTCGCCGTTGATGGCCCGCATTCAGGTTAATCTGAGCCAGCTCGCGGCACCTTTTATGATATTTACTTTTCCACAATAAGAAATCCCCTCCAGATAACACAGCCCTGCAAAGTTGCTGCCAATCATTAGGTATCAGTTGACTGGCTGAGAAAGACTCGAAGAGGGTCAATGTGAAAGGGGCATGAGGTCCATAGTTAATGACCGCCTCCTTAAGCTGTTTTATGTCCTTGAAGGCTAGGGGGACATGGGCTCTGGCCGGCTGTCCATCAGCATCGGCGTTTTCAATCATTGGAAAAACTTGAGCCGCTCTAGAACCCCAGTGGACCCCCGCCTGTCTAGTAGGGGCGTCCTCATTCCAATCAGGATTATAGGGAGGAGGTGCGGCAACTGAGGGGGCCCTAGGCACCCTCACATTTGCCCTTTTAAGGCGATGTTCTAGTTCCTCTGTCTCCCTTTCTAATCCCTCCTCTTCCTCAGAGAGAGAACTGAGGTCCTCAGGATCCTTTTTGGGCTTAGAAATCTGGAGGTGTTTCCTACCCTCCGAGCCCGAGTCCTCAAGGGGACCCTCATCCTTTAAGGATTCTGCCATTTGCTCCTCCTGCACCTGATTAAGGGCCTGTTCACATTCAGCAAGCTGATCCTTGATCTTTACTTTATCTGTTAATAAAGCATCCTTTACCAACCTCCATAAGGAAAAGGTGGCAACTGGGACACTGTCCGAGCCCCGGTCCCTCAATAATTTCTGAAGGTCATGCCTCACCAGGTCCCAGTCACTATTATTAAGAAATCCTCCTGTCAGAAACCAAGGACAAGCCTGGGCAATAATTTCAACGAATTCGGTTGCAGTCTTAGTTTTTATTCCTGTTCCTTGTGTATTTAACAGCTCTTTCAGTTCGTTGGCCAGACGAACCTTCGCTGTTGAGTTACCCATGGTACGTACCCTGTCTCTTTAAATTATCTTTAAACCAATCCTCCCCCTTCTTTCTTAGAAGGTGAGCCCCGTCCGCTTACCCCTGCTTTCCGCATCTCGGTGAGAACCTCCAATTGCCGCGTCCGGCCAAGGGAGCCGAGTCCGGCGAGGGACGGCGAGGTTAAAAGACACACAGGACACCAAGGTTCTTCATCCAGGAGTCAATAATCTTTATTGCTAACACACCTTTTTTTATACCCCAAGCAGCAGAAGTGGAAAACTACCCAAAAGCAGGAGGGAGGGGGGAGAAATTTAGTTTTAACATCTATTATTGTCAGGTACCGAAACCTCCCTTAACAATAAGTCCATCAGACCAGAAAAGGTCAAGGCATTCCCGTGGGATACATATGTCTCAGACGGATAAGCAGGAACAGAAAAACCGCAAGTTCGCCATGGCCTTGTGAGCTGGCCACACTGGCATGCAAAACAAACTAGTGGAGGTAGGGCTCCAGGGGCCAGGGTGGACCTGTTGCCAACAGGTGAGCATAGCTTCACCCATGGGGCTGTAGCAAGACACACCCATTTCTGTGACTGAGCGCCTCAGCACCTAGCTGGGGAGTGTAACTCAGTCACCCGTAAGGTTGGCCTCCCACAGCTGGGGTTGTGGCAGAGCACTCCCCTAGCATCCTCCCTAGAGGGGGGGAAGTGACCTCTACCCTGGGTGCCCTGGTATCCGAGCTCCCCCCCCACACACACCCAGGTTGGAAGGGCCTCTCTCCTAGAGGGGGGAGTGTCTTCCACCCTGGATGCCATGGTATCCCAGCTCCCCCCGACACCCAGGTTGGAGGGGCCTCCACCCTAGAGAAGGGGAGTGCCCTCTACCCTGGGTGTCATGGTATCTGAGCTCCCACACACACACCCAGGTTAGAGGGGCCTCCCTCCTAGAGGGGGAAGTGCCCGCTACCCTGTGAGCCATAATATCCGAGCTCCCCACACACACACCCAGGTTAGAGGGGCCTCCCTCCTAGAGGGGGGAGTGCCCGCAACCTTGGGTGCCCAGGTATCCAAGCTCCGCCCCCCAACACCCAGGTTAGAGGGGCCTCCCGGCTAGAAAGGGGAGTGCCCGCTACCCTGGGTACCTTGGTATCTGAGCTCCCCCGCCAGAATGCCCAGGTTAGAGGGGCCTCCCCAATAGAGGGGGGAGTCCCGCTACCCTGGGTGCCGTGGTATCCGAGGTCCCCCCCAGAACACCCAGGTTAGAGGGCCTCCCCCCTAGAGGGGGCAGTGCCCACTAGCCTGGGTGCCATGGTATCTGAGGTCCCCCCCCAGGTTAGAGGGGCCTTCCAACTGGAGGGGGGAGTGCCTGCTACCATGGGTGCCATGGGATCCAAGCTTCTCCCCAACCCCCACACCCAGGTTAGAGGGGCCTCCCCCCTAGAGAGGGGAGTGCCCGCTACCCTGGGTGCAGTGGTATCCGAGCTCCCCCCGGACACCCAGGTTAGGGGGGCCTTCCCCCTAGAGGGGGGAGTGCCCTCTACCCTGGGTGCCCAGGTATCCAAGCCCCGCCCCCCCACCCAAGTTAGAGGGGCCTCCCCCCTAGCTGGTGGAGTGCCCGCTACCTTGGGTGCCGAGGTATCAGAGCTCCCCACACACACACCCAGGTTAGAGGGACCTCCCCCGTAGAGAGGGGAGTGCCTGCTATCCTGGATGCCTTGGTATCCGAGCTTCCCCCCACCCCCGACACCCAGGTTAGAGGGCCCCCCCCCCAGATGGGGGAGTGCCCTCTATCTTGGGTGCTGTGGGAGCTCTGCAGGAGGAGAGATGGTGTAGGCACCCCTGCCTACCAGAGCTTGACTCCTGGGAGACCCCATCGCACCATGTCCTCGGAGGCCCACCCACTCCCAGACCCTTGGCTCCCACAAGTTGTTTCTCACTGCCTGCTTAGGGGGCTGAAGCTGCTGCTTTGGGGTCTGCCATACGACCAGCGCGGGCTTCATGAAAGAAGGTAGGTTCATAAGAAATTACTAGGGAGTTTTAAATTAAAGAGACAGACTGTCATTATCTTTAACACCAGCTCCTAGATGGCTTCTCCTAGCTCCCGCCTCTAGCCACCTAATGTTTACAGAAGAGACTAGCGAGAGAGGGAGAGCACGCCAGGGAGTGAGCTTTTATTGCGGAACAAAAAATTCCAGGGAAAAATCCCATCCAATGAAGGTTAAGGGGGGCAGCATCCCAAGGTCAAGGACAATGATTGAGTCTTCAGGTCAGTGGCCAGGCATGCCTCTGCACGGACAAGCCCTGGGACCTGGGAAAGGGTGGGAAATGCTTTTAACACAGCTGTGTTTAAGCACCTCTCACCCAGCCAGGGAGGTAACTCAAATCACGTGCCAGGATGGCCTCCCACATTGGGGTACACAAGAGCCTCCCCAGCAGGCCCTGGAGGAGATTCTAGTTATTCCAGCCCAGCCACTGGGCTTGTCCCTTCCCCTTGCTGGGCTGCATCTTGACCCTTGGGTTGACTCACTATTCTTAAAGTCGTTGGCCTCAGGGAACCCTGGAGGAGGAGAGAGAACTTCAGAGAGAGAAAAGCCCTGGGCCCAGCACACCCATTCCCCACCCCAGTTCCCCGACTCCTGCCACACCTTGCTTTCAGCAGGCCTCCAGGGAGACCCCAGTGCCCAGAGCATCATTCCCATAACCCAAACCTGCAGGAGACAGATTGGAGGGTGGAGTCAGGGATGGCATGGGGAGTCAGGTGACCAACTTTTAGTGATAGGAAAGGTAGGCAGATTAACTCAGAACTCAGAGGCCACTTGGAGAGGGCTCATCTCAGCTACTCCACTGCCTGGTCTCTCCCACCATCCTCGTCCAGGAACAAGAGTGCAACTTCAAATTCCGGCTGCTGCCTCTGGAAACCTCTGACTTCCCTCTGGGCAGCTTCTAAAGCTGCTCCTTCTTCTCCCATGACTTCAGACAGACCCTCACCTGACACAGGATCACTCACAGTTCCAGCCACCATTATGGCACAGCAGGTAGCAAATATGTGAAGGAAAATTAAAAAAGCAGCAGAGACGAGAGAGGAGTAGTAGGGGGCTCGCCATAAGGGAGAAGCCAGCTCCACCTGAGGGTCGGGCCAGGAGGGCTCACCAACTTCCTGCAGCTGGAGGTCACCACCACCAAAGCCTGGGGGAGAGGAAGCTAAGGGTCAGGGATGGCCCAGCCTCTGCCTCCCCTCTTCCTGGGCAAACAGAAGGCAGGAGAGGTAGGGAGAAGGTGGAAGTGTGAGGGGGGACTCAAGGCAGGAGTGCATTGAAGAGCCTCCTCACCCTGTTCTGCTCCTGGTACGGAGCCACTGGGAGGCTGGTAGCCTGTGAGGGGAATGGAAGTCAGTGATGGAAGACAGAGACTTTCCCTAACTCCTTGAGGAGCAAGTATGAACCTAAGGGACTCTGAGAAGGAAGAAGGGAATCTCCCTATCCAGAGACAACAGAACCAGGGGGAAAGAGCTTAGAAAATAGCAAGAGGGATGGAAGATCCATTCTAGGAGGGACTCCCTAGCCTTAGGTGCCTAAACAGAAGGATTGGGAGTTTGAGGCCAGCTTCAGCAACTTAGAGCCTGTCTCATTAAAAAAAAAAAAAAAAAAGTGATGGAGGAGGACCCTGATTTGGCTTGGAGACAGGGGCTGTAGGCCCAGTGGAGGGTTTGTCCCTTTGAGAAGTGGGGCCTGAGGGCAGAGAGACTTCTACCTGCTTTCTGAGGTTTTAAGCCCCACTGGATAGCTGGGGTTGGTGCTAGGAAGAAAGTTGGGGTGGGAGGCAGGAGCAGGAGTGAGCCTAGCACAGGGCTTGAGAAGGCTGCAGCCTGCCATGGGCCAAGGGACAAAGGCAGACGCCCAGGACCAGAGCCAGGTTTTTCCTCAGCTGATTCAGTGTGTGAGAAGTCACTGCCTTGGTGTCAGCTGACATGATAGAGCAGGACACAGAGCCAAGCCCAGGCCCTCCCAGGACAAGTACCTCCCTGTGGCCCCCCACGTCAGTCATATTCTACACTGACCTGGGAACTTGCCATTCTGCACTAGGGGAGAGGGCTGGGATTCCTGGCTCCAGCCACCCCCTTTATCTGAAGGAACTCCTGGAGTGGGAGGCCTGGGGAGGAGCAGTGGAATGACTCCCCCACTGCAAGGACCTAGTGGGGGGAAGGGAAGAGAGAGGGGAGTGAGCTGGAGGCATCTGTGCCATAGGCTGCCCAGGAGGCTCAGGCCAGACCAAGCCACCAACTTGCGGTGGCTGCTAGGTAGACACAGCATCCAAGGGGAGACCTCTGCCAGGCTGGGGAAAGCCTAGTTCCAAGGGTCACACAGGCCAAGAGCTCCTGCGGTCTGCCCACCCTACCTGTCATCCCCCAAGGGCCCATTCAGTGGCCTCACCTGGCTGGGTCGACAGCCCATTTCCATTGCCATATCCTGGAGAAGAAAAGTAGGAAAGTGAGGGTCAGGATGGGGGTGGGGTCTGGAGCAGGGGCAGGAGAGGCATAGGACGGAGATGGGTAGTTTCCTCACTTGCCTGGCTTCCAAGCTTTCATGCCCACACCCAGGGCTGGAGAAGCCAGAGGCCTGTTCAGACCAACAGCCCCTCCCTAGGAGTGAACCCTCTGCCTCTCTCTCTCTTCCCTGCTGAGGCCCCCTGCACTCACCTGGTGGGAGCTCCTGGCCATTCCCTGGTGTGTACCCTGGGAGGAGAACAGGCCATGAGGGAAGGGGCTGATATAGGAGAGTCAGGAAGAGGAACAGAAATGGACTTACCTGGTTCGAATGGCAGCTAGGCAGATCTTGTCCCTCCCCAGGACTACCTTGCCCCTCCTTCCCTTCTCTTTACCCTCTCACCTGACTGGACCCCTTTCCCCAGGAAGCCTCCTGCGCCCAGCCCATTCCTGTACCTGTGGAGTCAGGTGGGCTGGGGAGGGCTAGGGCCTTAAGGGCAGTGGGCAGTTTCTGAAGGTAGAGAGAAAGGGCTTACCTGGCTTCTGGGGCTGTGTGCCTTCCCCAATACCTAGAGAAGAGATGGAGAGGAGGTGAGGGACCCAGGATGCCCCCACTATGGGCCTCTCCTCCATATCCCTGGAACCTTCTTGTGCCCAACCATGCCCACCTGGCCCAGAGTTATGGGAACTGAAGAGCCTGGGTAGAGGGAGAAAGACTAAGGTGCAAAATGGCCCTCAGACAGGGCCTGGGACCCACCTCCCTTCTCCTGGCCACGGCCCCAGCCTCTCCCAGCCTCTCAGTATCTGCTCCATAGACACTCTGAGCTGGGGGACCTATGAGAGGGAGGGATAAGCAGGACATTGATACCCCAGCTAAGCTGGGGCAGGAATAGCTTGTGGTTCCCCCATTCAGGGTCAGTACACAAACCAGAATCCTGGAGAAACCCCTGGACATCCCTTGGGAGGTCTGGAAGGGGACAGTAACAGGGTACCCCAGACAGAAACCCCCTCACTGGTCAGTTGGGCCCCCAGCCCATTCCCATTCCTGTATCCTAGGGCAGAGTTGGAGGTAGGTGTGAAAGAGGGAAAAAAGGTTTGGGGGAGGCAGAGAGACTGGCTAGAACAGAGCTCACCTGATTTCTGGGGCTTTGCACCCCCTCCACAGCCTGGAGGAGAGACAGGGACCAGGTTAGGACCCTAGATGAGGTTCCCGTCTCTGGCCTCCCCACAGCCTCAGCTCCACCCCTACCTGGTCCATGGCCATTTGGAGCTGCAGGGCCTGTGCAGAAGAGGGAAATGCAACAGCTGGGCCTGGGTGACGAGGCCAGGACTAGGGTCACTTGGTGTCTCCCTAATTCCCCTCCCAGTGACCCTTGCTTCCCCCACAAATTTCCTTCCACTCATGAAGCAGGAGTGAGGGTACAGACCCAGCTTAGTTTGTTTATTGCCAAGGGCAATGGGGACAGAGAGAAAAGGGACAAGGCTGCTCTCCCACCTGGCTTCTAAGGTTTCACCCCCACTCTGAGAAGTAGGGAAGGAGAGAGATGCTAACATGTGTCTAGCCACCTCTTCTCAAGCCCCTAACTGGCCCCTTTCTCTGTCCCCAGCTCTTCTCTCTGCCTGCCCCACCTCCCAACACCACCTCAGGGCCAAGGCCCAGCAGCCCTTACCTAGGCCAGCTCCCATTCCGTTTCTATTGCCGTAACCTGGGGGAGAAACAGGAACAGGCTTGGGGTTGGTGTGGGGGATTCAGGAGGCAGTCACAGAGACAGGTAGGGGCTAATTGAGGGCACCTTCATCTGGCTCTGAGACTTCAGGCCCCCCAGGCCTCTGTCATCCCCTCACACCCATGGCCCTGGTGATCCCTTACTTTCTGCCCTTCCTGTGGAGACATGGAGGCTGAGCTCAGGGCCAGACCCCCAACTGCTACAATCCAAGCAGGCTCTGCCCTCCTGGTCCCTGCCCTCACCCTCTAGGGGGCTCTGTCCAGGTCTTTTCACCTGACTGGGCTCTTTTTGCAAGGAAGGCCCTGGTTGCCAGCCCATTCCCATGCCCTAGAGAGAGGGAGGGAGCTGTGGTGGGGCACTTATGGCTTTGGGGGTGCATGGACGGAGATGACCCAGCAAGACTCACCTGGCTTCTGGGGCTTCATGACCCCTCCAAAGCCTGGTGGAGACATAGTTGCAGGTAAGCGTCCTGGGGTCCCATATCAGTTTCCCCATTCCCTACTCATCCCTGTCCCTACCTGTTGTGAATCTGTTCTGGACTGTCAGGCCTGTGCAAAGAGGAAGGGGGAACTTGGGGTCAGGTTGAGGTGAAGGTCCCCCTGTTGGCCAAAGCTAGAGCCTTGGAGTTCTTGAGCCTTCCTCCTAGACCCCTAAATTTCTCACTGACTGCCCTCCTGAGGTCCAGGATGGGAGAAGTAGGCTGCCAGACCTCACCACTCACCTGGCTGGGCTCCAGCCCATCACCATTACCCCTGGGAGGGGCAGGTGGGGGTGGAAAGAGAGGGGGAAGAGAGCTCTGAACTTTGGCAGAAACACAAGCAGGAGTTAGCTCACCAGCCATCTGAGGTTTCACACCCTCTCCAAAGAGTCAGGGGAAGGGGGAATGTGAGGCACCCAGGAGAGACCATCTCAGAGCCACCCCAGAACCCTAGCATCCTGGTTCCAGCTTCTCCCAGCCCCTTGGTACCTGCTCTGTAGCCATTCTGAGCTAGGGGCCCTGTGGACATAGGAGGGATGAGCAGGGGGCAAAGGACCTATGGTGCCCTCTTCAGAGTCAGACCAGAAACCACGGATTCTGGAGACCACCAACCCTGCACCTCTGAGGCCTGGGGGGCAGAGGCTGTGGACGTGCAGGCCCCACCCCCAGACCCCACCCAGAACCTGGCTGGGCTGCCAGCCTGTGCCTGTTCCTGAATCCTGGGCCACAGAGGGAGGATTGTGTGAATGAGGGGAGGGAAGTCGAGGTATGGGGGAGGCAGAGAGACTGGCTAGGGCAGGGCTCACCTGACTTTTGGGCCTTCATGCCCCCTCCATATCCTGGAGGGGAGACAGGTAGCAGGTGAGGGCCCTGGCGGTCCCCATCTCTGGCCTCCCTAGAACCCTGGCACTGCTCCTACCTGGTCCGTAACCATTTTGAACTATAGGTCCTGGTGGAAGGAGAGAAAGGGGCTCTGAGGATCTCAGCCTGTCTCTGAAGTCCTACCCCAATGCCTGGCCCCTCCAGCTCTACTCCAGCTGCCACTCCTGACCCTCCCCAACACCCATCATGCCATCTGTGGTCCAGGGTAGTGTGAGAAGGTTGGGGAGACACATGGCTTATAGGGTCCCCACACCCTTCTTGTTTTTGCTACCTTTTTCTCACACATCCCTGGTGGCCTCCAAGTGGCCAAATCCAATGTGCCCCTGATGCTCCCCACCATTATCCTTCCTGGACCTCTGCCACCCCTCACTTTCTGGTCTTCCCTCCTGTTTCTTAGGCCCTTTCTAGGTCCCTTATTCTGCTCATTCCCTGGAAGGTGATGGTCCCCAGCCTTCTGTGGTGGGCCCTTGACAGCCCCTCTGGTATCCCAGATGACATATCCAACTTCCTGGTTCGTTGAGTGTCACTACCACCCATTGACCAGCCAGAAAAGTGGCCTCCCCTCATTATGACTAGCTCCTGCCACATGCACCTGAGCTATTTCTAGAGCCTGTATCCTTTTTCTATGGGCCTCTCTTCAGTGCCCAGTCAAGCCCTCACCAATTTTTCAATGTGCCTTGGTCACCTCTCTCCAACTTGGCTGTGGCTCCCTCTTTCCCAAATTCTGGGGACACAGAGTTCCCAGGCAGCCCTCATGGGCAGCCTTGGCCTGTACTGTATTCCACATTGTCATTCTGTCTGCCTCCCCAGTGGGCTCTGGGTTCTGAGAGGACCAGTTCCAGCCCTGGCTGGCACAGAACAGGTGTGGTCCATGGGTTGGTTTGTTGAATGAATGCTTGTTGCATGAGAAGAAGCTGGGTGGTGAGGGGTTGGGCCTTGCCTGGCTTCTGGGGTATTAACCCTCCCACAGGTCTGGGGAAAAGGAGACTGTCATGCCTCTGCATCAGCACCCCTACTATGGAAACCCCATGCTCCCACAACCACAGTGCCTCACCTGGCTGGGCTCCAGCTCCTGGGAAGGCCACAGCTCCCAGTCCATTCCTGACTCCAAATTCTGGGGACACAGAGCAAAGGAGCATAAAGGGAGATCCAGGACCTTGAGGAGTGCAGTGCAGGTAGATAAAGTAAGACAGAGACAGGCCCAGTGATGGCCTTACCTGGCTTCTGGAGTTTTCCACCCCATCCAAAGCCTGGGGGAGAGACGAGCAGGTGAGGGGTTTTTTGTGTCTGGTACTCCTGCCAGAAACCCAGCCTTGGGCTCCCCTCCACCATCCCATCCCTTATTTACCTGCTCCAAAGCCACTCAGAACTGCAGAACCTACAAAGAAGGGTAGACACAGGAAATCAGAGTGGCACCAAGGTGGGAATATGGCTAGGACTGGCCAGCCTCTGGCTTCCTCTGCCCTTCCCCCTGGACCTGCCTCTCACTCTGGATTTTCTCCCAATCCTGACCATGGTCTGCAATTGAATATTTGGTTCTTGGCCTGTGGGGTGGGCCCAGTGGGTCCAGACATGGACAGGTGTGAGAAGGTGGGGGAGACACATGGCTTGTAGGCTCCCCAGGCCCTTCTTGCTTTTGCTACCCATCCAACCCTTTTCTTACACATCCCTGGTGGCCTCCAAGTGGCCAAATCCAATGTGCATGCCATCCACAGGCCTCAGCCAACTTGGTCAGTGATGTGCTCTGGAGATTGATTGGGATTGATTGGGTGAATCTCTAGAAGCCTAGCTGGGAGGCCCTGCCTCTCCCTCCTGCTCTTACCTGGCTGGGCCCCCAGGGCATTTCCATTGGCAAATCCTGGAAGGAAAGTGGTATGTAAGGAGAGGATTAGGGAGGACTTGGTGGAGGTGGGACAAGGCCATAGATGGAGCCAAGGAGGAGGCAGGGAGATCAGGTCTCTGCTCACCTGATTTCTGAGACTTCACGCCTCCTCCCAGACCTAGGGGAAGATGCAGAGGGGCTGAGCCATGTTGGTTGGTTGGCAGATCCCACCCAACCCACTATTCTTCCCCCAGAAATCAAGTTTCTAATCTCTCAGGTCCTGACTTCCCCTAGGTCCACCTCTTCCCTCCTCCCTTACTGGCTGGACTCCAAGCCCATTGCCGTTGCCAAACCCTGGGAGATGGAGCAGGAAAGAGGCAGGGGAGGCCCGGCCAAGTACATGAGGGGCAGCAGACAGGTATGTTGGGACAGAGCAGGGAGCACCTGACTTTTGAGGTTTCACACCTGCGTCAATGCTTAAGAGAGGGAGTCCTGAGGTAAGGGAGCCCTGAGCCCTGAGCCCAGACCCCCTTTCACCCCACCCTCCCCTACCAAGTGCATGGCTGTTCTGAGGCAGGGTCTGTGAGGAGAGAGAGACAGAGGCTGGAGCCAGGCCAGTGTGGGCCAGGCCATGGTGGTTTATTTTATTTTTTATTTTTTTTTTTATTTTAGAGAGAGAGAGAGAGAGAATTTTAATATTTATTTATTTATTTTAGTTCTCGGTGGACACAACATCTTTGTTTGTATGTGGTGCTGAGGATCGAACCTGGGCCACACACATGCCAGGCGAGCGCGCTACCGCTTGAGCCACATCCCCAGCCCCCATGGTGGTTTAGATAGTTCTTGTGGTGTCCCTGTCTCAGGCCTTTGTGTGCCATGTCCCCAGCAGCTCTTGCCTCTGGGAGCATGACTACCAGGCAGCTTGGAAACCCCTCCCTAGTCCCAAGACCACATCCCAAACTCTGGAAGGGCATCAGCAGGCCAATTAAGGGACCTGTAACACAGTGGCAGAGATGGGGACGAGGAGAGATGGGGGCACAGAGACAATACAGCAAAGGCAGGGCCCTCTGCTCCCCTGCCTTCGGAGGTCTTGCACACCCTCCCAGGCTGGGAGAGACAGAAAGAGTTTGACATTGATATTGACCCCAACTGCCCCCTCCCCAAAAAATAAAAATGGAGAATTTCTTTCTTTTTTCTTTTTTTCAGTACTGGGGAATGAATCCCCAGTATTCATTGGTAGGATGCTCTACCACTGAGCCACATCTCTGGACCTTTTAAAATTTTTATTTCGAGACAGGACCTTGCACAATTGCTGGGGCTGTTTGTAATTTGCAATCCTCCTGCCTCAGCCTTCTGAGTCACTAGGATTAGGCCTGTGCCACCACACCAGGTGAGGGTGGGATCCTGCACCTTCCTCCCCTGTGCCTTCCTGAGCCCTACCTCAGCTACCCTCATCTGGCAGGGTTTCCGCTCCTGGAGAAGCATGATTGCCCTCAAAGCTTGGAGAGAAAGTGAGGGCTGTAAGGCTTGGGGTGTGCTGACGAGGGGGGGCATAGACAGAAATGAGCAGGATGGAGTCAAGACATGGGCAAGGCAGGGCTCCCCTGCACCTGGCTTTGGAGGTTTCCCAACTGCTCCCAGGCTTGGGATAAATGGAGAGGCTGAGCTCCTGCCCTCCCTCCACCACCCAACTCTCTCCCCTCCGGGTCCCAGATGTCCTTACCAGGCAGGGCTCCCACCCCTGGGAAGGCTCCAGCTGCCATCCTAGTTCCATATCCTGGGAGGCAGAGCCAGAGGGAAGAATAAGGAAGGGACTAGAGCTTCAAAAGGAGAGAGACAAAGGTGGCGAGAGCTTGAGAGAGGACAGGCATGGAGCAGGCTCTTACCTGGCTTCTGGGGCTTCATACCCGCTCCAAAGCCTGGGGAGAGAAATGAGAGATGAAGGGAGGCCAGAGACCCAGCCTCCTTCCCAGAGTCCCCGTTCCATAGCCATTCTGAGCTAAGAGCCTGGGGGAAGTGGGGGTATCTGGGTCCCTGCGGGGGACCTGTTTTCCCCTCCCCACTGGACATCAGAAACCCTGAGTCCCCTCTTGCCCACTTTCTCTGAACCACCAGTTTTTCCTTCCTTGAGGCCTGGGACCAGCCACACCCCCAGAACCACCTCACCTGGCTGGGCTGCAGCACCTGGAATGGGTCCTGCTCCCAGCCTATACCTGTTTCCATACCCTAGGGAGACAGGGCAAGGGGGAGTCAGGAAGAATGTGGGAGGTTCACAGAGGTGTGGAGGGACAGGCAGTGTCTGAGGCAGACTCACCTGGCCTCTGAGGTTTCACACTCCCTCCAGTGCCTGAGAGGGATGAGGATCAGCTGATGGTCTCAGAAGCCCCCCTCCCAGGAACATCCCTCTAGTTCTGGCTCCAGGCTGCCCCCCGTCCCACCTCTACCTGCTCCATAGCCCTTCTGAGCTGGAGGGCCTGTGAGGAGAAGGGGACATGAGCTGGAGATGTGCGGGGTCCCAGCTGAGGTTGGACCAAGCCAGAAACCAGCACACCTGAAAGTCTCCCTGTCCCCACAACTATTCAGTGCTGTCCCTCTCTTCTGAGGACCCCCTGGGGGTGACCCCTGGACTCCCCACTCTCACCTGGCTGGGATCTTAGCTGATTCCCCTTCCCAAATCCTGAGGAGACAGATTAAGGTGGGGTATGAGAGAAAGATGAGGAGAAAGAGAGCTGAGCCAGAGCAGGGCTCAACTGCATCCTCACATTTAGCACCCCCTCTTTTTAAATTTATTTTTGATACCAGGGATTGGATCCAGGGGCATTTTACCATAGAGCCACATACCCAGCCTTTTTTTTTTTTTTTTTTTTGAGACAAGGTCTCACTAAGTTGCTTAGGGCCTCACTAAATTGCTGAGGCTGGCCTTGAACTTGTGATCCTTAGTCTCCCATACTGCTGGGATTATCGGCTAGCGCCCCCTCTGAAGCCTGGGGGAGAAACCCAGGAGCCCCTGAGTCAGGGGCTCCCCAGAACCCCACCTCTGGGCCCATAGCCATTCTGAGCAACAGGCCTTGGGGACTCTGCTCAGATCAGAGAAAGGTAGAGTGTCACTTGCCAGAAGCCTCTAAGCAAACCCTCCCTCCTTCCTTCCTTCCTTCTTCTCAGCTTGGGGACAAGAGGAGGTCAGTTCTGTCCCCTTAGGTTTCTAAGATGATTGCCTGCCCGTCTCCTCTTTCCCAGCTGGGAGGGAGGAAGCATCTTGCCCCTGTTCCTCAGACTCCCCATCTCTTGACCTGGTCCTCACCTGCTCCCAGCCCACTGGAGGTGCCGTAGCCTGTGAAGGAAATGAGAGGTTGAATCCAGCCTGGCAGGAGAGGCAGGAACTGGGGTGCAGTGCACCCTCCTGGAGGACAGGGAGTAGCCTGCCATGCCCACCCCTCAGTCTGTGTTACCTTGTCGGTAGCCATTTGGGCTCCCAAAGCCTGTGGGATCAGGGAGAAAGTGGGTAACTTAGGAAGGGGCAAAGAGGGACAAATGTGCACGCCACCCCTCCCTCTCTGGGGCTCAGTTGCCTGCTGGTCACAGGAGGGGTAAGGACAGAGAGCCAGGTAGGCAGTCTGATGGCAGATGAGCTGAAGCTGGGGTCCCTGGATATGGAGGAAGGTGTTTAAGCCGTATCTCTGAGGGGCTGGGGACAGCCCATTTTGCCCTTTTCCTCATCAGTTCGTATACTTCTCCCCTCCAATCTTAGTTTTGAGGGTCTCATTCCTTTTCTTTCTTTTTTTTTGTTTTGGCGGGGTGGGGGGGTACTATGGATTGAATCCAGAAGTACTTTGCCATTGAGCCACATCCCCAGCACTTTTTATTTTTTATTTTGGGACAGGATTTCACTAAGTTGTTGGGCCTAAGTTGATGAGGCTGACCTTGAATTTTAAACCCTCCCCCATAAGCCTCCTGAGTTGCTGGGAGTACAGGCATGTGCCACCGTGTATTGCAGTTCTTTGGAGGGTCTTTGGACTCTCCTCCATTCCTGGAACTCTCACCACCCCCTCCTGTCCCAAGCCCCTCCACCTCTCCCTTGGCACCTTGAATGCACCATGGCTCATGGAGCACCCCCATCCACCCTTAGCACCCCAGAAGTGAAGACCTGTCCATGACACTAAGCCCCACTCCCCCAGCCCCTGAGCTTCTGAAGCTTACCTAGTCCCTCTCCTGTCCCAATTGCCTCTTGGGGACATGCCACCCCTCTCCTGTCACAGCCTGCCCTCAAGACCAGCTTCAAATAACTTTGCCATGTTCTTAGAGGAAAAAAAAAAATCCCAACTCTTCAGAGCCCAAGGTGTCTGTATTCTCTACCCTTGAGCTGACGGTTGATAGTACTGCTGCCAGGAAGACAGGGAGGGACCCCATGCTTTCCTGGGCCCCACATCTGGAGTCCCAGAGCTGGGTAGCACCTGGGGCCATCCCCAGAGACCTCCCAGACCCCATGGAATGGGAGAGATGGGCCCTATCCCCTGACTAAGACTGGCTTCTTAGCTTTCTGTGGGCCAGGAGGGAGTAGGAGCAGCCCTAGGGGAGGAGGGGGCTGCTGCTCAGGGCTGGCCCCTGGCCGAGGGGGAGCAAGACCAAGGCTTTGGTCCCTCAGTCCTTGAATCTCCCATCCAAACTCCCTGTCACCCAGGCTTCTCACACTCTGACCCTTGCTGGCTCTGGAACCCCAGCACTAGCCCATGCCCTACTTGACCTGACCCCCAGCCCCAATTGCAGCTGCCCATACCCTCCCCTCCCCTCCCAGCCACCTAGTTCTCACCGCCTTGTAGGCTCTCAGAAGTCAGGCAGAGAAGGAAAAGGGCCGCGAGGAAGGCCCAGGTGCCCATGATGCCAGGGAGTGAGAAGGCTTGGCACCCTTTGGAGCTTTAAACACCCTTGTTGTGAGAGGCAGAGACTCTGAAGACTCCAGGAGGCCAGCCCCCCTGCTTCTCCCCCTCAGCAAGCATCTAGCCCCCTGGCCCTCCTCCAGGCCCTACCCCTCATCCATCATGGGTGCTGACAGGAGAGGCCTCCCACCTGGCCCCCCAGGCTCCTCCACCCTATCAGTGACTTGGGTCCTGGCGCCAGGCCTGGAGGACTCAGATGTCTCCCCCACCTGCCCCACATTGGCAGCTGGTAAGGGCCAGGGTGACACCCTAGGCCCAACCCAAACACAGCTGGGGGCAGGGTGGGAGCCAGAACCAGAAGTGTGGGCATGTCTGTCAGGGAAGCTGCCGAAAGAGTTACTGTGTTACCCAGAGAAAGGGGCAGTGACAGAGTGTTTCAAACTCTGCAGGGAGGCAACAGTGTATCAGATGCCCAGCTAAGGGCAGCCATGTCCACAAGAGTTCAGCTGCTCTCTGGTCTGATCCTGAGACTACATAGACGGCCTCAGGAGACCAGGACACACAGACACCGGTTACCCCACGCTCAGCTTGTCCGAGTCCTGCTGTTTCCTTCCCTGCCTTCCTTCTCTTTCTTTCTTTTTCACTCTGGGGATTTAACCCAGGGTACTCTACCACTGAGTTGCAGACTCAGTCCTTTTTAATTTTTTCCCCCACTAAAATTTTCCAATCCTCCTGCTTCAGCCTTCTCAGTGGCTAGGATTGTAGGTGTGTACCACCATGCTGGGTGAATCCTGCTGTTTCTGGACCTCAGGCCCAGGCCCATCCCTAGGTGGGCCTCCCTCCTGTCTTACCTCAGCTGTCAGCACTGACTTTAACCTTGGGGAACAAACTCAGGGTCCACTACTTAGAATGTGTAGCACTGGCTGCAGAGAGTGCCTGGGGACTGGCTGCAGCCCTCATTCTTGGAGGAGGTTGGAAAGAGGGGCCTAGAGCCAGGCTGACATAGAGAGCCTGGCAGAGAGAGAAGTACAGAGTACACAGCAGAGGCAAACCCTGGAAGAGCTGGGGTGGAGTGGAGGTGCCCCCAAGGAGTCTGTGGACCCCACTGAGCTGGCAGGGGATGGCATTGCTCAGCCCCCAGCCCATAGACCAAGTCCAGAGGCCCCACACCCTGTCTGCTCAGCCCATCCCCGGGCCAGCCTGCCATGCCTGGCACACTGGCTGAGGAGGCACATGTGCCCAACCTGGCAGCCAGGCAGGAGGATGTCTGGAGAATGGCTACAGTGAGGAAAGGCCTCGGGGGAGTCCTGAAGCACGAGGCTCCTGAGCCTGCCTCCTCTACAGGGTTCATTCTGCTGCCGGTAGATGGCAGGGCTAGTGCCAGGCACCCCTCACCCACAGACCAGCCCCAGCACTGAGCTGGTCCTTCACCTCCTCTCTGCCCCTCACTCTGAGCTGTACCCGACTGTGGCTCTGTCCCTGACCAGGAGGCTCCCACCCAGGGCTGACACCCACGAGAGGTCATGTGGCCATGCTTATACCCCTCACAGACCCACCTTTTAAAAAAGAAATTTTTTTATAGTTGTAGATGGACAGAATGCCTTTATTTTATTTGTTAATTTTTATGTGGTGCTGAGGATTGAACCCAGTGCCTCACACCTGCTAGGCAAGCGTTCTGCCACTGAGCTACAGGCCCAGCCCACAGACCACCTTTGTACCAGGCCCCCTGTGGGTTCAACCTCAGCCATAGCCTCAGCACAGTACCCCACATGCCCTCCTCCTGTCCTGCTTGCTGTCCAGGAGGCTGAACTTTCCATAGTTATGGGGAGGGACCACTGCATAAGAGCCCAGGGCAGTTGGAATGATGTACTAGAACTCCCTGGGGAGACTTTCCTGCCAGGCCACTGCGCTGTGGCTACAGGCACTGGTTCCCTAGTCTCCCCATGAAAGGCAACTGAATGGCCTGGTGGTTAGCAGAAGCTGGGCCCTGGGTTCAGGTGGTGTGCAAATACCCACGAGATCCGTTCAGGGACCTTGGGTAGGAATCTGGCCTTTCTGAAGCTGTCACTCTCCTCTGATATGAAAACAGCAGGAGCACCAGGGATTGGGGGCTATTAGGACCAATCCTCGTTTTACACATGGGGAAACAGGTAGGGAGGGGAAAACGGTATCTGCCTCAGACGGCACAACTCCTAAGTGATGGGGCTGGAGTCTGAACCTGGGCAGTCCAAGGGCCCCCAGGTCCAGCTCCCCTGCTCTCTGTCATTCCACACTCTTAAAAAAAAAAAAAAAGAAAAACATTTATTTTTTAGAAGTAGTTGGACATAATACCTTTATTTATTTATTTATTTAAAGAGAGAGAGAGAGAGAATTTTAATATTTATTTTTAGTTTTTGGTGGACACAACATCTTTGTTTGTATGTGGTGCTGAGGATCGAACCCAGGCCACACACATGCCAGGCGAGCGTGCTACCGCTTGAGCCACATCCCCAGCCCCATAATACCTTTATTTTATTTATTTATTTTTATGTGGTGCTGAGCCACGATCCCAGCCCCTCACTCCGCACTCTTCTGGGCAGGCTACAGGTCCAGTGTGCCAGACTGCTTCAAACTTGGGAGAGCCAAGGACCCCCTGTGCAGACCCAGACACCCAGACATGTAGACACCCAGGGCTCCCGCAGGGTGGCAGGGAATCTTGGCCCAGGAGGAGGCAGGTGGGAAAACTGGTAGGGGCCATGCAGGAGGTGCAGATTGAGTTCCTGCTTGGCCACTGCCAGGCTGCCTGGGTGCTGGCATGGGCCTGTGGAAAATGCCTCATGGCTCCATGGGCCTGCCTGAGGGCTGCGTAGGACCTGCAATACCACAATTCCTGCCCCCGGCCCCCTGCAGTCAATGCCCTGGCTCACTCCCAGCTCCACCCTGGCAGAGCTAGCTTGAGAACACAAGGACTAGAGGGCCAGGGAATCCCTGAAAGAGCCCTGGCCTGGGTGACCCAGTACCCTGGCCTAAGGGGGACAGAGTCTAGCCTCTGAACAGAGGAGCAATGTTGAGGGGCTAGGGTGGGAGCCAAGGGCAAAGAGACAGCTGGTCTGCAGGAAGTGCGGGATCAAGGTTCTGGAAGTGCATTCCCTAAGATGGCACAGCCAGTGTTAAGGGACTCCCAATCAGCTGCTTGACCTCAGCGGCACCTGTGAGGATGTGAATCTGGGAGGACAGCTGGGGGTGGGGGCAGCCAGGCGCCTGTGGGCAGACACTTCTGCGCCCACAGCTGTGTTGTTGGCCCCTTGGATCACCAGCTCCTCTGCTCTGGGTAGCTCTTTAGCCCAAACCTGAGCTTCAGCTTTTCAGTTGCTTCTCGGACGCCCTTGGAGCAGTCCCCAGGCACTCACACTGTGCAAAGCTGACCCCCATTAACCCCTTCTCCCCACCCACCTGCCTTACGCAGAGGGTAAAACTTTATGCAAGGGTAAAACACGGCATTCATAGAGAAGAGCACAGAAGACGTAAATGCACAACATGGCGAACACCATGCAACCACAAAGTGGCAGTTCCCCAGAAGCGCCATCACAGCCATCTCTTCCTCGTTAAGTTCTCCACGTTTCCATTTGAGGTCGTCGTTTCCTCACCTTTCTAGCGTCCCTGTGAGAGTGAGCTCGCCTTTCTGGGAGAGTATGGGCGGGGCCCGCTTCTGGGTGTTGTTGCGGCTGCCGGACGCACGGGGGCGAGCGCGGCACTCTCCTGGAAGTGCGAACGCGACCCGGGAATCCAGTCTGAATTTTTCCTCCGCGACAGAGGCCCCTCCCAGCGCTTTGGCTCAGAGCTCGGTGGGCTGTTATGTCTCTGTGAGCCCTGGCTGAATGGGGAGTATTGGCCCTTTTCCTCCAGAGGCTTCCTTTTGTCCCAGAGAGCTGCCTTGAAAAATGCCAAACACCACACAGGAGCGAGCCCCCCCCCCCCGCCCCGCGCGTGTGCGTGTGTGCGTGTGTGCGTGTGTGTGTGTGTGTGTGTGTGTGTGTGTGTGGTGTTTTGCTGCTATGAAAAAATGAGTAGGCCGCGGGCTAATCACTTCACGTGCATTTTCTCAGCTAGTGCTTATTTCCCCCAAGGAGACAGAAGCTGTTATTATTATCCCATTTTACATTGGTGGAGGCTGGCAGAGTAGGATTGGATTGCAGTCCTGAATTCCCTGACAACACAGCCTGACCGTTTATCTGCTAACTGTGCTTATTTATATTATTTTGCATTTATATTATTGCCCTTCTCCACACAGTAAAATGTCCATTAGAAACATGCTGTTGAATTAAAAATATTTCTTGTTTATTTTTTAAAGTGCCAGTGATCAAATCCAGGGCCTGGCTCATGCTGTAGGCAAGTGCTATACCACTGAGCTACATCCAGACTTTTTTATTTTTATTTTTTAAAATTTGGGACAGGGTCCCCATTAAGTTACTCAGGCTGGTCTGAAACTTGCAATCCTCCTGTTTCAGTATCCCTAGTGGCTAGGATAACAGGCGTGCACCACGGACACTCAGTCTTATTTTTATTATTTTATTTTATTTTTAAAGATAGTCTCCCTATGTTGCCAGGTTCCTGAGCTCCCCCAGTGTCTGGGCTCAAGCCATCCTCTGGCGGCAGCTTCCAGTGTCATTGGGATTGCAGGCATGCATCACCGTGGCTGCTGTTTTCTGTTTTTAAATCATTGTGAATCAAACTTTGAGGAACTGGAAGTTGGAAGGGGGCCTGCCCTGAAAGTGGGCTGGCAGAAATAGCCCTCCACAGCTGAAGGCCTACTTCCTAGGCCCCCTGGGGACAACCCAAGGACCTCAAAAGTTCCAGTTTGATCACAGCCATGGCTGCCAGAGATTCTAAGGCAAAGAATGGGTGCATGGAAGTGGGCTGCAGCCCCCAGCTCTGGGCGTTGGGCCTCACCAGGTACTAGGCCCTCTCCCAGTGCTGTTCATACCCAGGAGTGTTCAATGACAGCACAAGCATTGAATAGTCTGGCAGCCCTGTAGTTTATGACTTTTCAGACTTGGGGCAGGGGAAGGTTGGAGGACTGGTTCTGGTGCCAAGAACTAAGAGGAGATGTGTTGAGAGCCACAGCCAAGTCAGAATGACGCCTGGCATATTGCCAGAGGGAATGGTTGAAAGGTGATGCCAGCGAACTATTGAGATGATGATTTGAGTTAAGCTGTATATAATTGCTGTGATGCTGGATTGATTGAGTTGTATATGGACCCTGCTCCGGGAATAGGGCTGCTCCGGGAATAGGGCTGCTCCGCACAGCCCGGTGGAAGGTGGAAGGTGTGTGTTCCCGTGTAGTGTGTGTGCAGTGCCAGTGAGAGTTGGGGAATAAAGAGTTGCTGTTTGAACCTACAAGGCTTTGTGGTGGCTCAGTTATTTGTGCCCAGCCAAACTGCGGCAGAGATGGGTGGCCAGCAAATTTTATTTCTACTTATTATTTGCTATAACAAGTAGAAATAAAGTTTCAAATAGAGATAAATGAAATAGAGAAAACAGGTGAGACAATAGGCCTTTGAAGGAGGCTTGTCCTTAAGCATGACTACCCCCCACCCCATTAAAAGGATAAAGGTCCCCCTAAGTGAAAGAAGAAGCAATCTGCACAGGCCCTCTGCTAAGCGCTTTAAGGGGATCATCCCAGCATCATGGGTTCCAATTTATAGGAGAGACTAATCAGAGGCTCAGAAAAGCCCAGTATGTTCCCAAGGTCGTTCAGCAGGGAAGCGGCTGAGAGCAAGGTTCAAACCCAAAGAATGAGTAAAAAGATGCCTCAGAAGAGGCTGAAACAGGCAGGAATGCTGAGAACAGGCAAGACAGGCCGAGGTCTAAAGAGCTCCCTGAAAGAGGTGGCATTTCCTGGCTTCTGAAGTCACTCACTGGTGGAGTGGTGAGTGCGTCCTCCTCACTGCAACCCCAGAGCAGCATGGCCTGGCCGGAGGAAAGCAGCCCAGGGCATCTGATCCGCAGATTTGTCTCCAGGGTGCGCTGCGTGGCCACCTCTCCCGTGTTTTTTTTTTTGGCACTGGGGACTGAACTCTTCTCAACACCACTGAGCTATATCCTCTTCTTATTTTTCCCTTATTTATTTTTTGTTAATTGCCCAGGCTGGCCCCAAACTTGTGATCCTTCTCAGACAACCTAGTGGCTGGGATTACAAGTGTGCGCCAGCCGGCCAGCACTTTTACCCAAGTTACTGAGGCCGCAACCGGAGCAGCGGTACTGGGTGTCCCGGAAACCCGGAGGGAGGATCCGAGGGCGGGATCAACATTGAGCTCGGCCTCGGATCGAACCTCACCGCGGCCACGCCGCGTCTAGCGCTAATCACACTGTGCGCCTGCGCCACGGGAGCGCGCAGCCAGGCGGGGCGCGCACGCAGGCCGCGGGGCGGGGCCAGCGGGCCGGCGCCTCTGACGGGCCGGGCCTGGCGGGCCGGGGCGGGGCCTCGAGACCGGTTTGGAATTTTTGGCGCGAGCCGGCTCCGCGCGCGTTCACGGGCCGTTCCTCATCTGGGAGAGCCTTCCGCCGGGACGTCGGGAGTCGTCGACCACAGACCCTGGCCCACTTGACCGCCCCGAGGCCTCCCGCCGCCTCTACCGACCTGGAATTTGGGACCTCGTTGCTGCGCCCCGCCCAGCCGCCCAGGTAAGCCCAGCCCCCGGCCCAGGGCTCCCGGGAGCGCAGCCTTTCCGCCCGCTTCCCCGCGCTCCCGGGCGGCTTCTGGTCCCCGGACTACCTCTTCCCGGCCAGCTTCCACTCGCGTACCCTGCAGCCCCCTCCCTCAATGGCCAGCCCGCCCTCTGCGACAGCCCCACCTCTCCAGTCCCGCGGAGGCTGGCCCTGCCCTCAGGTGACCAGCTCCCGGCCAGCGCGGTCCCCGACGGCCCCGCCCACGCCGCTAGGCCCGCCGGGGTGGCCGCCCTTCCCTCCTCTCGCCACCCCGCCGGCTGGTCCCCTTTCCTGTGGGGGTCCCTTCCCCAGCGGCTGCCCTCCTTTATTTGACCTTTCCTGGGAGAAGCCCTTCTGCTCTCAGGGCTTTCAGGCGGGTCTCTCCGCGGGCCTCCCGGTGACAGCCCGTCTCCCCAGTTGTTCTCCAGGGTATTCCCACGCCCACGGAGAGAATTCCGCCGCCGCCCTGCCCCGGAGGAACTCACAGTCTAGCTGTAGACGGTGGTCAGCAGATGTGTCCGGCTCAGTGAGAGGGTGAGGCCCGAGGCCCCTGGAAATTGTGGAGGTCACTCTGGCTGGGGCTGTGGCTCCCGGCCACCCTGGCTGTATCCCCACTGAGCCGGCTTCCCTGTCAATCCTTCGCGCCCCTAAGGCTGTTTGTTCACGTACTTCTTCATGTTCCTGGGATGGGATTTTATTTTTTATGTTTTACTTTTTTTGAGAAAGGATCTCCCTAAGTTGCTTAGGGCCTCGCCAAATTCTGAGCGGCCTCGAACTTGTGATCCTCCTGCCTCGGCCACCTGAGCTGCTAGGATTACAGGTGTGCACCACCCGGCCCATTGGTGGGATGGGATTCTTGAGGTAAACAGAGGCAGAGGAAGGGTCCCCACAGAATATAGGGTGAGGCTTTCAGCCAAGCCCCTAGATCCCTCCCCACACAGTGGTAGGCCCTTCTTTAGGTGACTGATCCTGAGCAGTCACCAGCACACTCTCTGCTAGGTATGGCATCTTGTGGTCCATTGGTCCATTGTGGCTTTCTCTCACATTTGACTCTTCCTCTCTTTTTTTTTGTGTGTGTGTGTGTCAATTACAGCATTATAGGAACACAACAGCCCTCTGCCCAACACACAAGGCACTGATACTTGTGGGATGACTGTACTTTGTGTGTTGTTTCAGTTACTACCCAGAGTTTATGATAGCATTTATGGCATCATTTGCTTGATAGTAGTTTGCCTTTATGCTGGACTTAGGGCTAAGCCCTCCATAAGTTCAGTACAGTATGAGTCCACAAATCCCTGAGGCTAGAGGCATTTCAGTAATTAAACTGAGATTTAGAAAGCTATTATGGGTACATATTCACCACTGATGGGTATGGGACATCATTCCAAGATCAAACATATTAATATTTCTGCCAAGAAATATATGAATATTTTCACTGAGAGATGATGATGATAATGATGATGATGATGATGATCCTGACTATGATGATTTTTGTGGAACTGGAGATTGAACCTAGGGCCTAGAAAGTGCCAGGCAAGTACCATATCACTGAAACATCCTCAGCCCTTTCCTTCCTTCCTTCCTTCCTTCCTTCCTTCCTTCCTGGGATTGAACTCAGGGGCACTCAACCACTGAGCCCATCCCCAGCACTATTTTGTATTTTTATTTAGAGACAGGGTCTCACTGAGTTGCTTAGCACCTCGCTGTTGCTAAGGCTGGTTTTCTTTATTTGTTGCCATACCAGGGATTTAATTCAGGGGCACTTTACCACTGAGATATATCCCCAACCCTTTTTGTTTTTTTTATTTTGAGATAGGGTCTTGCTGAGTTGTTTAGGGCCTCACTAAGTTGCTGAGGCTGGCTTTGACCTTTCCATTCTCCAGTCTCGCCTCCTGAGCCTCTGGATTGTAGGTGTATGCCACTGTACCTGGGAGGGTTTATTTTTGAAGCCTCAATTCTATTCTCATCTCTCTCTTTATCTATTTGTCCTTATGTGAGTACCACACTGTTTTGATTACTATGGCTGTGTAGTAGGTTTTGGAATTGGGGTGTGAGTCTTCCAACATTTTTCTTTTTTTGATTATTTTGATGAACTTTCATATGAATGTTAGGATCAGTTCGTCATTTCCTCTAAGGAAATCACTTCGGATTCTGTGCTAGGGACCAGTCCCAGGGCCTTGCCTATGCTAGGCAAGCACCCTACCACTGAGTCATATCACTAACCCATAATTTGAAGAGTATTGCCATTTTATCAAATCTTTGGATCTATGAACATGTGACATCTTTCCATTTATTTAGACCTTAATCCCACCCCCCACCCCCACTCTTCTGGCTCTTGAACCACCACCACCACCATCATCATCATCATCATCATCATCATCATCATCATCATCATCACATACTATGTATACCTTCCACCATTGAGCTACATTGCCTCCCCCAGCCTCCTCTTAATAACTCACCACCAAAGCCTCTATGGACTTTGATAGCATCAACTTCACAACAGTGTTTCAGTTTTTTTAGGGGAGCAACTTCAGGGCTGGTTATTTTTTTGTTCGTTTTTGTTTACTTTAATTAAATCCCAAACTGCTGGGATATATATGTATATATCACCAATTTAAAAAATATATTTATAGTATTCACTGTGGTAACATGTGCATAGCATAATTTGGTCAATTTCATTCCACATTCCCTCCCCTTCCCCTTCCCCTTCCCTCCTCCCTTCCCCTCAACTTCCCCCTCAGTCCCCTTAGGGCTTCTATTTCACAACCTGCCTCTACCCCTGGGCAAAATATTTGAGTCATGCTGTGGAGCTGGGATCTGATAAATATGAAAGCCTGCCCCCTCTGGGTGGATACCTTCACTTTGATAGGATTGCAGGAGCTCCAACTTCTTGGAGACACCTGCTCATAGTGCTGATAGGCATCTAGGTGCCATACATTCTGGATGTTCTTACCAAGATTTGGTGGATTGTCTTATATAAATGTTTCTTCATTTACTATATGCACTTAGTACCATGTCCAGAGGTTTGCAATACTTGCTTGTGAATAATGTTTGCCAGCTCCACCTGTGTTGCTGGGGACAGGCTCCCAGAGCACCTCAAGCTGCTGTTTAGGAAGTGGAGCTCCACTGAGCAGTTCTGGCAATACAGCTATGAAAATGAAAGAAAGGAACAAAGAACTCTGCCTTTTACCCTGGAGTTAGAGAGGAAGGATGGTATTAGAACTGGAGAGGAGGGGAGGGATAGTGTTGATATTTCTGTCTCAGATCTTAAAAGAAAGGAAGGCTGGACCTCCCACTCCCACCCCAATGTGGTGGCTGTATAGGTTCTGACTCCAGAACCACTTTGGTTTTAACATCCCCATTGGGCTTCACACCCTCAGGGACATAGGCCTCTGGTCTCCATTTCATCTTTCTGTCATGTCTGAGATGCCGACAGCATGTCATGCAGGTGTTTGACGGCCTGTCCTCTGCCTTTTCCTACAGGTGCTTGTGGTCCCCGCAGCCTTCATGTGGAAAGTAGAACGTGCGAGCAGTGTAGACTGGGCTCTCTTGGGGGCCACAGCACCAGGTGTTTTTTGAGTGGACACACTGCTCGACCTCCGTCTCTCTGCCCCCAGGGCCTCCTGTGCTGGCCATGCCTGTGCCTGCTGAGGGTACCCCACCACCTCTAAGTGGCACCCCTGTCCCAGTCCCAGCCTACTTCCGCCATGCAGAGCCTGGCTTCTCCCTCAAGAGGCCTGGGGGGCTCAGCCGAAGCCTCCCACCCCGGCCCCCTGCCAAGGGTAGCATCCCAATTAGTCGTCTCTTTCCTCCTCGGACCCCGGGTTGGCATCAGCCCCACCCCCGGAGGGTGTCATTCCGGAATGAGGCTTCAGAAACCCTGCAGAGCCCTGGGTATGACCCGAGCAGGCCAGAATCCTTTTTTCAGCAGAGCTTCCAGAGGCTCAGCCGCCTGGGCCATGGATCCTATGGAGAGGTCTTCAAGGTGAGGAAAGAGACGGGACAGTTCTCTAAGTCCATCTGTGGGACACTTTGCTTCCCTCTCCTCTCCTGAGCAGCCTGCTCCACTGTCCTCTTCTCTGCTTTTGTTTTGACTGCTTTCTCATAACCTCTATGCAGGGCCCTTTGAGGGTTGCCTGTGCACACTGGTTCCTTGTCCAGAGTCTGGCACAATCTGCAGTGCCCCTGGTTGCCATCTCTGCTGAATTCAGCTGTGCTGAGTTCCTTGGCAAGCACTACACAGCTCCCAGGGCTAGCCCAAGTACAGTGCCACCCTGCCCTCTGGCAGGCTTGAAGGCTACCTCCTGCCTGCCACTTTTTTTTTTGCCTTAAAATATATTTTCTAATCATTTATATTTTCTCTAAAATGGTAGCTTTCTGAAGCTGGGCACAGGGGCACACGCCTGTCATCCCAGCAGCTTGGGAGGCTGAGGCAGGAGATCATGAGTTCAAAGCCAGCCTCAGCAACAGCGAGGCACTAAGCAAGTCAGTGAGACCTTGTCTCTAAATAAAATACAAAATAGGGCTGCGGATGTGGCTTAGTGGTTGGATAACCCTGAGTTCAATCCCTAGTACCCTACCCCCCCGCAAATTAAAAAATGGTAGCTTTCCCTTGCACAAACACTATTTGAAGATAATTTTGTTATCTTTATTAAATGCAAGGAAAATAGTCCCCTGGGCCAGATACCTTACCCAGAGGAAAGCTGTGCATAGCAGAGCAGGCTGCCCCTGTTCTGGAGCCATGGTTTCCACTTAGCACTGTGCTCTAGAGAATCTCCTGGGCCAGAGTCCATGGGTCTGCCCTGCCTCCTCCATGGCTGGGTCTCCAGCATATCACCATGTGCCGGCAGCTCTCTAAGACAGATGTGTTGCCCCTCCACATGTGTGATATCTTAATAGCATCTATCAGTTGTGCCCCCACCCCACCTGCAGGCACCATTTCTCTTGCAGGTGCGCTCCAAGGAAGATGGCCGTCTCTATGCGGTCAAACGTTCTATGTCGCCATTCCGGGGTCCCAAGGACCGGGCCCGCAAGCTGGCTGAGGTAGGCGGCCACGAGAAGGTGGGGCAGCATCCGCGCTGCGTGCGGTTGGAGAGAGCCTGGGAGGAGGGCGGCATCCTGTACCTGCAGACGGAGTTGTGCGGGCCCAGCCTTCAGCAACACTGTGAAGCCTGGGGCGCCAGCCTGCCTGAGACCCAAGTCTGGGGCTACCTTCGAGACACTCTGCTTGCTCTGGCCCACCTGCATGGCCAAGGCCTGGTTCACCTTGATGTCAAGCCTGCCAACATCTTCCTGGGGCCCCGGGGCCGCTGTAAGCTAGGTGACTTTGGCCTGCTGGTGGAGCTGGGTGCCACTGGAGCCAGTGAGGCCCAGGAGGGAGACCCCCGCTACATGGCCCCCGAGCTGCTGCAGGGCTCCTACGGGACAGCGGCAGATGTGTTCAGGTGAGGGCTAGGACATGGAGGGGTTGTGTGGCCCTTGTCTGGGGGTGGTCAGCAGAGAAAGGGACTCCCTAGAAGAAGACCTCCATCCTGGCCCTAGGTCAGGAAGACATTTAGCCTCAGGCCTCAGAGATGCTGTGTCTGCCTTATAGCTAAGAGATCTCCTTGGCATGCTGCTTAAAACCAGCAAGCCCTTTGGAGTAGCTTTACTTAGCCTCGCCACATCCTTACATTTCTAAGGGAAGAATGGCTATTACTCTGGTACAGGAGGGAACAGTGCAGTGAGGTTAAGGGACTTACCCTGAATTCACAGTTAGCAGCCGGGACTGGGCCCAGGCACTGGGTTCCAGTTTCATGCTGGCAACACTGCCCTGCCTCCAGCACTTGTATCTGACCATCTCAGCAGAATGAGGATGGCATTAGTAACCTTAGAAACTCAGGTGCCCATCAGTGAGGTATTGGAGGACCACCACAGCAGCATGTGGGCTGCACTGGATGTAGGATTAACCCTTCACAACAAGGTCCCCATCCAGCCTGGAGCTCATTGGCCCTGCTGCAGACTCTAAGTCCCCACCCCTCTTTCATCACTTCCCTGGCTTATGGTGGAAGATAACAGCCCTTCCCACCCTCCAGTGGGATTGGGGTCTGTGTTCCAAAGTCAACTCTGTCCCTAGTCTGGGTCTCACCATCCTGGAAGTGGCCTGCAACATGGAACTGCCCCATGGTGGAGAGGGCTGGCAGCAGCTGCGCCAGGGCTACCTGCCTCCTGAGTTTACTGCTGGTGAGTGGAGGGCCCAGTGGCAGGCTGCCACCAGTTCCTATGGCAGGGAGTAGCTGGTGGTAGGGGTACTGCTGGGTTCAGGGCCCAGTCAGTGCCCTGGAATCTTTGACATGGCTTTGTCCAATGGGCAGGTCTGTCTGCTGAGCTGCGTTCTGTCCTCGTCATGATGCTGGAGCCTGACCCCCAGCTGCGGGCCACGGCTGAGGCCCTGCTGGCCCTGCCCATGCTGAGGCAACCAAGGCCCTGGAACATCCTGTGGTGCATGGCTGCTGAAGCCCTAAGTCGAGGCTGGGCTCTATGGCAAGTAAGCTGCCACAGTGCCAAGCCATGTTACCTGACGCCCACCCCAGGGCCTGCCTGGCTTCTTGAGGTTTCCTCTCCCCCACAGGCTCTGCTCACCCTGCTGTGCTGGCTTTGGCACAGCCTAGCTCACCCTGCCAGCTGGCTGCAGCCCCCAGGTCCACCAGCCACCCCACCTGGCTCACCACCCTGCAGCCTCCTGGATAGCAGCCTCTCCAGCAGCTGGGATGATGACAGCATAGGGTGAGTGAGAGCTCCTACACCTGGTGTGGGCCCATAGTATAGCTAAATGGAGGTCTGGTGAATGGGAGTCACAGCTTGGTCTATGTGAATTCAACTCAGTGAGTGGGGTGACTGCCACCCACAACACAGCTTCACACTGGTAAGTGGTAGGAAGGCCAGTGTACCTGCCAGAATAGGCAGGGGCACACCCCCCCACACACACACACCTCAGTAGAGGCTGCAAGTGCCCAGGGATAGGGCATTTTCTTTCCCTGGATGAAGAAAAATCTCAGAGCCTGGCAAGTCTCCACTCTGAGAGGATGCCCTTAGTCTCAGGTGGCCAAGTGAGAGGCTGTAATTAAGAAACTCCTGCACAAGAAAGCTACATGCCCCAAATACACAGCTCTTGAAGGAATCCCTTCCTTATAATAATGTCACCCTCACTCTGAGGGCACTTTGTAGCCCAAGGGAAGTGCCAGCACAGCTTCATTTACCAAAAGTTCACCTGAGATCCAGCTCAGCTAAAGCCTATATTCTGAAAATGAACAGAAATGGCTTTTGGGCACAGTCAGATGGGAGGGCTTGAAGGTTGTCCAAATGTACCACATCTTTATGGTCCTGACTATGGCCCTTATCCCTCCGTCAGGGCTAGAACCTGAGTAGGGTTGCTCTCCTACACTTCTTACCTCCTTGCTTGTTTTACCTACCTTCCTATAGGCCTTCGCTCTCCCCAGAGGCCATCCTGACCCGGGCTGCCAGGAGTACTTCCACCCCCCGGGGCAGGTACACACCAAGGTAAGCAGGCCCCAGAGCTGGGGCTGGGCAGGGTTGGTTTTGGGATCCTGAGTGTCATTCTTCTTTTCTTACAGGGATGCCCTGGACCTAAGTAACATGGACTCAGAGCTTCCTCGGGGTTCCTGTCCTTCCTTTGAGCCTAGGAACCTCCTCAGCCTATTTGAGGACTCACTGGACCCAGCCTGAGCTGTAGGTCCAGCTTCTGTACTTTTAACCTCTTACTCCTTCCCTGTCCCTTCCCCTGGAAAGCTGGGTCCCTTTGGGATCTACTGTGTCTAATAAAAAGTATTTGAATCTTGGGAGCACCCAAGCTTGCTCTAGTGGCAATAGAGCATTTTCTGTCCCTTTATTGATGTAGCCCAGGGTCTTGGGCTGCTGGGAGGATCCTGCTATGAGGCTGAGCCCTGCTGTAGATCCCAGGGCCCCAGGCCTTGGCTCAGCAGACTGGCACCACACACTGTGTGGGATAGAGATTTCCTGAGTGGGCATGTTCCCAGCAGGCAGGGAGCCATCAGATCATGGCACTGAAGGTGGGGGCAGACCTTTAGCCCAGTGGGGCCTGGGTCCAGAGTCACTCACTTCATGTCTGTTTCTGTTAACTGGGAAAAGCAGCCACTGTCCTCATGTCCCTTGTCCAGCTGGTGCAAGAAGATCCAGTACCCACTGGGTCTTGGGAAAAGGGGCTGGTCCTGCTGCCCCAGACCCTTACTCCAATCTTTAAATGGAGAAAGGTGGCAGGGCTTCTGGCTGCTGGGAGGGCTGGCATGCAAGGCAGAGATGGAGGTTAGGAAGCAGGGGCCAGAGGGGCTAGTCCAGAGACCTGTGAGGGCAGGATCGGGGGATGATGGGTCTGGGTTGGCAGGTATGGCAAGTTTGCAGGACTCCAGCTGTCAGAACAGGATATAACCTTAGAGTCTCTCTGGCCCAACCTTCACAGGTAACAGAGGGTAAACAGGTCCAGAGAAGGAAAGGTTTCCTTGCAGCTGACACAGTACCCAGGAGGAAGAAGGCAAGGAGGGGAAGTTGGAGTTCCAAGGCCTGGGTGGAAGAAGAGGTTAGTTCAGAGGGAAGAATGAACAGACAAGGGCTCCCAGCTGGGAAGTCTCAAGCGCTGTAAGCATCAAGGGAGCCAGCCCCTTGCAGACCAGAAGGAGGGAAGGTGGCATTATTGGTTCCAGGAGGCTGTGGGCAAGCTGGCACAGGAGGCAGGAGGCAGCTCAGTCTGGGGGACAGGCGTGGTGGGAGGCCCAGAGCAGGTCAGGCACAACACCAGCGTGGAGCTGTAGGATGGAGCCCACGCTGAGCAGATGCATGATCTGGTGGGAGTTACCCCAGTAGTCGAAGCGGCCAGGCCCCCAGCGCTCTGGTAGGCGGGCCACATTCACCAGCCCTCCAAGCAGTGCCAGTGCATCCATGCGCAGATAGCAGCGCAGGGAACCTGGAGCCCCTGAGCCCAGCCCTACTGCACGGGCCCCAAACACCAGCAGACGGGCCCCAGCTTGCCAGCCAAAGGCTCGGAGTCGGGCACTGGTGGAAGGGGCAGTGAGGGCTCGCCAGCCGGCTATAGCAGACAGCAGGGTGTAGCCCACCAGGGCAGCCGGGCGCAGCCAGGGCCTACAGACCAGGGTGCAGTGGATGATGGGCAGGGCCCCTGCAGAGAGAGAACAGGAGGTACATCAATCTGAGTCTGCTTTCCCTTCCCTACCCAGGGCTCATGCCCCTGCCTCCCCATCTCTAGGGCCCTGGCTCACCGAGGGTGTTGACGAGGCAGACCCCACACATATCAAGAGCAAGAAGCCGGGCGTACACAGAACTGCCCCCTTGGTGGCACATGAAGAGGTGATACAGCACAGAGGCGGCAGGGGGAACCAGGCAGGCCACACAGTGTGTGCCCCCCAGCCAGCTATCCTTTCCCAGCTGACTCCAGGGCATAGTCATTGGCACCAGCACCAGGAAACCCAGCAAGGCCAGCCCTGGGAGAGAGAGACAGTTATCCATCATACAGTTTGGGCATAAAAGTTGAATCACATCCCTAAGGAGATCAGTTTAGGGATGACACAAGAGGGGCAACAGCAGAACAGATCTGGGTGCTGCTGCCATACACACAGAGGCAGGCCTTAGGCTATAGGCTTTTGGAAACCTACTATCATGGTTCATAACTTTGGGAAGTTGAGACTCTGAGCCCACTTTGCAGGTGAGGAAACTGAAGCTTGGAGGTCAAGTAACCTACCCCAGATGAGCCCAGCAAGTTGTATGGCTCTCAAGCTGCCCTCACCCTTTAAGCTGGAGCAGGAGGACCCCATGAGGCCTGTCTAGTCTACAGAAGCCTCAGGAGGTATCACCGGAGTTCTGAGCAGGATATGTGGACACCACCACCCCCAGGGCTACTAAGCTTGCCTCTTCCCAAGTGTCCACACAAACAGAGGCTTTGGGTCTTTTTGTCTTCCAGAAAGGGGTGAGGCCAGGTAGGGCAAGGCAAGTCCTGAATGCTCAGGTGGGACTGAAAGGAGTTTGTCCCATCTCCTTCCCAAGTGTTTCCCAGGATCTCCATTCTTGCCAGCCCAAGCCCTTCTCTGGGATTACAAACCCTCTCCAAAGAAGTTGGCATTGCCCTCAACTGGGTCAAACCAGAGCTCAGACTGCCCACTCTGGGTTGGGCCAGGCTACACAACAGCCCCCCACTAGGCAAAGGCTAACCCTGCAGGCTCCCGGCCCCTCAGCCCCAGGAGCTGCTCAAGGACGGCCAGGGCTGTGTCAGCAGAGCTCAGAGGGCTGCGGAGGAGGGCCCAAGTGCCTGCTGGGGGGGGCGGGGGAGGAAGGAGCTGCCACCAGGCGGAGCCCCAAGACAGGGCTTCTGGGGCTGGGGCAGAAGGGCTGCTAGGCCATGAAGGGCTGGGACCGAGACCGCGGCCAGCTTTTCCCAGGCCCGTTCCTCTCCACAGTTAACATCCATCTCCAGGACGGGTGATAGCGGGGGAGGGTGCTCAGAGCACTAGGATTACGAAGGGGTCTGACACTAGGCTTCTTACCCCAGGGACAGAGCGGGATTAAGCAGTCCCAGCCCCCTATTCTGATCCCCTCCTCGCCAGCCCTGGGGCCCCCGCTGGGAAAGAGGAAGCTGGCAGCCCGGCTCGGGACAATGGCAGCTTTGTCACCACGGTTCCAGGCCAAACCAGGGACGGGACAGACCAGGACCTAGGCGCTGGGGCACTCCTTGGCCTTCGGGTCCCGGGCAGTGAACGGCAGGGCGGCAGCGGGTGCCGGAATGCACGAAGTGGGGTGCGGCTCACCGTGTGTGTAGATGTTGCCCAGCTCGTTGTGCACGTAGAAAAGGCTGCGCAGGCAGCCCGAGCCGCTGCTGGCCGGCCGGTAGCCGGTCAGCACGAACTTATTGAACTGCAGGTGCGGAGGTGAGCTGGCCCAGTCCAGCAGGCGCGGCCCGGACAGGAACGCCATGCCCCTGCGCAGCGCCGGCCGCTTGTGCTCCTCCTGTCCCTGGGTATCCTCCTTACTGGGGCTGCAGCGCCGGAGAGCTCATCCCTGCCCGCCTCCCGGCTGCCGGGTCGCGCAGTGCTGGGTCAGCGAGCGCGCCAGCAGAGGGTCCGCGCCCCCTCGCGTCCAGCGATGCGCACGCGCGAGCCTGACGCCCCCGCACCGGGGCGGAGGCTGGGAGACCCGGCACCCGAGCGCAGTGCGGCCGGGTCCGCCTGGGGAGGCGCTCCGCAGAAATAGCTCCAGTTGGAGGCGGCGGCCGATGGCCTCGCCGCATCTCGAAGGACGGGCGCGGCCGGACGCGGGAGGGAACACCAGGCTCCGCCCCGGTTCCTCGCCCCCGTCAACCCTGCTGGTATTTCGCGCGCTGGATTCCTGACGTTGATGCTGCCAGGGCCAATGGGCGCGGCCAACGGGGAGGCTCCGCCCCGAGAGCGCCCAGGCCTTCTCTCTCTTCTAAGCATAATCTATGGGGCACCAGCCTCATTTGCATGTTTGCTTAGGACCTGATGTTCTGGGTCCCGCGAGCTAAGCTGGAGTGACCAGGCATCTCGTGTCTCCCAGCACTGCGCACCCGGTTTTCCGCGTGACCCCCAAAATGTCGTACCTTTGGGTATCCACCCTCAAGTTCACAGCCCCACCAGTCAGCCCCACCCTGCGGTCGGGGCTCTGTCCAAGGTGCTGCTGGCTCAGGCCCATTCGGGAGGTTCCAGACGAGCGCTGGCGCGTCCCCACTTTGGAGATGATCTCTCCAGTGGCCCCAGATACCCAAGCCTCGGAGGAGATGCGTGACGCACCAGGAGCCCTCGGCAAGGCCCGGATCTTCCGGCCAGGATTCTCTGAGCTTGGGCGAGGCCCAACTCACTCGCTATTATCGCTCACAAGGCGCACCCTCGGCCCAGCCCAGGCCAGGTAGGAAACTGCAGAAAACAAGGCAGGAGGCGATGGGAGAAAGGTCGGCTCCCGCTCCACCACCCCCAGGGCGGGAACCAGGAGGAGCCCCTTTGTCAGGCATATCTTTGCCCAAGGTCAGTCTCTGTCGCCCACTCTTATGCAGGGCACCGCCCATCCATCCTCGGTTCCTCCTCTCCCTTCCAGAAGGTTCTGTCAAACTCGTGGCATGAAACGCCATGCAATCCTGATTCTGAACTCTCATTAACATAGTCCCTTCCACCATTTAAAACTTGCCGAGGCCTGTACCAAAATAGGACCTTTATTTAAAGTCAGTGATGGACCTCTTTGAGACAGGAATTTGGGTACATATGGAGGAGATAATGATTATCAAAGGAAGGGCCCATGTAGAAAATGCCCATGAACCATTGCCACTCCTGACCAACCCAGGCCATGCCCTCGACCCATGCCTTTAACTACAAAAAAGTTACAGGAGGGTGAAGTGCAAGTTTCAGAAACACTAGAAATTGTGTAACTCCACCCTGCAACCATCTCTAGTCCAACCCCTAGCAATTGCTCCTATATAAATACTAACCCCAACATCAAGAAGTTGTCACTCCTCTGGACACGGCTCACATTCTCCCCTGAATGTGTCTCTGCTTTCCTAAATAAACCTTTTTGTGTTTCTGGCACCTGCTGAAATTCTTCTACAACATGTTCATCAAGGACCCCATTTGTCCTGAGTCCATGTCCCTTCTCCAGAACGCCTCCAAATGCCAGTGACATTTTGACTACTTTTTTTGACTTCTAACCTCTCACTGAGGGCAGCAATCCAAGATGACCCCAGGAAGGTCTCAGAGACTCCTGAAAACAGAGACTACCTCCCACATCAAGATCTATGGGTTGGTGAGCTGGACCTAGAGGTTCAGGCCAAATACCCAGAA